CCCCCCCCCCCCCCCCCCCCCCCCCCCCCCCCCCCCCCCCCCCCCCCCCCCCCCCCCCCCCCCCCCCCCCCCCCCCCCCCCCCCCCCCCCCCCCCTGAGACAACAACTGGCGAGGAGTCGTCATTTCTCCACTGCTCGGACTGGCCACATCGCTGCAAGAATTATCTACATCACCTTTCTCTCCCTCTACATCTTTTCCATCCATTGTCAACATCAATGATCGCAAACGGTTCAGCAGTCCTCGACATTTAACGTTGGGCTAAATATAGATATAAGGACGGGACGGGAGGGGCCACTGCACAGCTTAAAGTGGGGCTGTCTAATCGGCGCGCAAGGCTGGGCTGGGCTGGCCAGCTGCCGGACGGGTCAGACAAATGTCGCAGGCGGCAGGCCAAGGCTACCTAAGTAGGGCTGTGATAATGAGTGGCCTGACAGCCGACCAAGATGCGTAGCCATGCATGCTTTCCGCGTGTTGACTGCAACCCTGGTCGCCTGCCTATGCGAACCAGGACGCGTGTCTGAGACTCGCACTGAGCTCTATTTGCCATGGGGTACCAGGAGCTATAGGAGCAGATTTCGGGACGGAGACAAACGCACACAAGTCAACGTGAGAGTGAGGTGTGATTTCGTCAGCCTGCTGTGCGATAGCGATCACAGGATGTTCGCGCAAGGACGATGATGACATGAACCTGTGCGCTGGATCCTAAAGTCTGCCCTGTACGACGATGACGGGTCTCTGTCCGTCTTTGAAGCGATTGATGTGTTTATTTCGCGGAATAGTCGCCAAGTACCTACCCATGGCCGGCAAATCGTGCGTCGCGCGGTAAGTCGATGTCCTGTTGTCGTCTCAGATTGCACTGCCACTTTCGCGGGGATTGTGTGCTTGCTCGGACCTGTTCGTGCAGGACGGCATCACATCGAGTCTGGGCGCGGGGGGACCAGCCTTGGGCTCCAGTCAAGCATGGACCATGCAACGGCTCGACTTGGGGTGCTCAGGGAGCGTGAATGAAAACATTGAAGCTCGCGGTCTCGCTATTATCATTGAGCGCGCAAAACCAAGGGAGAACATTATACATCACTAGTCTCGTGGTATAGATTAGATGGTGGTCGGTCGGTATTGATTAACTCTAATCTCCAGTCTTGGAGTACGGATGGAGGCAGGTACCGAGCGGGGCCGGTCCTGCCATCGAGACTCTGGATGACGGTAGGAACGATAAGCCCTGACTGCAACGTTTGAAAATACCATCGCGAGCCTCCAGTCAGGCTCTAGGGCAGTGCCCGGACATGGAGTGGTGAGGACAATTGATGATGCAGGCGCTCGTTCGTTCACTGGCAGTGAACAGGCTGGTACAGTGGTGTAGGTAATCAATCAAATGGCAGGTGCGACACTAAGCTAGGCGGGCTTACATGTGATTGGCGCAGCACCAGTGCCCCGCTTATTCCCGCAAGGCAGGCAACTCGAACATTTCTCTGCGAGCAGCTCGAGTGCCCGCCCGTCGCCCGTTCTTTGGGCCTCCCTCTTCCTCCAGTCTTCGACAGACACGATCTCGTCTATTATTAGCATCACCCAACGCCAGATTCAGCCCGTCGACCTGCTGCACAACCACCACGCACGACGCATCTATGCTACACTACGCATCCGTACACTATCCGCACACGTCCCTACTACGCCATAGCTAGCTAGGTAGCTGCCGAACGGCGACGCGACGAGCAAGACATAAGGGATCCTCGTCCCTCCTGAAGCTAAAATCTTTCGGCCCCTCCATTATCACCGTTAGCATCAACCGCAAAAGCTCTTCCTTTTCCTCTTTACTTTTCCTTGTCTGTTCTAGGTCTCCTTTGTCTTGTGCTTGGGATACCCTCACTTGATACACCGGCAACGACCCGGCTTCAGCTACTGGCCGTCTACCGCACTATAGCCTGTCTCTCCGCCTGTCTCTCTTTCTTTTGCGACACTTGCGACAATCTGGCGCAACACGCGACGGTCGCCACTACGACTGGACCCATCGCCTACACGACCCAGACGCCAGTGAACGCGTAGAGCATACGCAGAGAGCGCAATCATGGGTCGTCGGAAGATCGAAATCAAGGCGATCAAGGATGACCGCAACCGCTCAGTGTATGTCTTGCGCCTGTGGCGCTACTCCCACCAGACGAATGCTAATTCAGACCAGCACGTTTCTGAAGCGAAAGGGCGGTCTCTTCAAAAAGGCCCATGAGCTTTCCGTCCTCTGCTCGGTCGATGTCGCCGTCTTCGTCTTTGGCAACAATAAGAAGCTGTACGAGTACTCGTCGAACGATATGCGCGACCTGATTGCGCGATACCAATTCGTGAGTGCGTCCCGGCACGATACTGGCTCTTAATATTGACAATCATGGCAGCATGGTGGACCCAACGAGCACAAAGGCCCCGCCGACTTCAACGGCGGCAACGACGACGACGATGACGAAGAGGGCGACGGTAGCCCCCCTCAGGCTTCCGAGAATCTCGATCAAAGCCACATGGTCAACGCGAGCTACCATGCCCAAGGCCCCCAAGTGCCCTTTCCGCAAATCAGAAACCAAACTGCATCAGCATCGCCGCCCATTCCCAACGGCGCCGTCTTCCCAGGTCACCCCCACCAGCAGCGTGGCCACACGCCTCAGGGCAGCATTTCGAGGCCATTGTCACGCAATGATGGACGGCGCGTCGCGCCCAGCATGATGGCCCAGGGCCCCCATGGTGGAATGACATACATGCCGACACCGCCCATCTACAATCAGCAACAGAATCAGCAGCACCAGCACCAGCACCAGCACCAGCACCAGCACCAGCACCAGCACCAGCAGCATCTCATGCCCCAGCATGCGCCTACTGCTCCTCACCACTACACGTACCCACCGCAGCAACAGCCTCAACAACAGGCGCCCCAGGCCTACATGGAGGAGCGCCGTCCGTCCGCACCGCCCATGTACACGCAGCCTCCTCCCCAGACAGTTGCTGCCCGTGCCGACCCTTCACCCCCTCAGCCCCAACACCAGGCGGTCCCTCGAGCTCCCACCAAGTCTCCCCAGCCCAGCGTTCGGCCCCATGACCCTCAGCCACCACCTCCGGTCCGTCCCAAGACTGAGTCGCAGGAACGTCCTCAGCCGCCCCTGCTCAACACCGATTCTGCTATCAGGAAACTTCCTCAGCGCAAAGGACATTCGATCTTCACTCCCGTTGAGGAAAATCGGTCCATGCTGTCTCAGCATCTTGCGGCGTTCGCCCCCGAGTCCATCAAGACCGAGAATGGCTTGGCCACGATGCCAACAAGCCGACCTCACTCTACAGATATGACTGCAAGCGCGCGCACAGTCTCGCCCCCTCAAAGTAAGGGTCGTGCTTCCGTCGGCCCTGTGCCTGAGACCACCTTCACGCCGCCATCGCGATCCAACAGTTTCCAGACTAACGGCTCGGCTGGTGGACAGCGACCTCGCGGCCCCCGTCTCACCGTGCAAATCCCAGACGAAGAGTCCGAGCCTGGCAGCGCAACCGAATCAACTTCGCCCAAGGCGGAGACGCGTCCTGGTCAACAACGGCAGAACTCGAATTCGTCCATCGTCTTGCCCGCCCCGTCGCCTTCAGCCGGGCCAGGTCTACTGTCTGCCGGCGCAACTGGCCCACCAAACCCTTTTGCGAAGCCTCTTCCCCAGCAGAACATTAATGCCGAGACACCAGCTTCTGCCCTTCCCTCCCACTTTATCAGCAACAACTTCTTGCCCAGCCCTAGTAGCTTCTACAATGACTGGAACTTTCGAGCATCCGACAGCAACACGCTGCCGAGCCCACTGAACTTTGCGACACCTGTAGGACCCTCTGGTCCCAGCTTTCTCCGAGAGGACAATGCTACCACGACTGCTGGCGCCAACAAGCGCAAGAGCCCGGAACTTGCCGAGAATGAAGGCTCTGAAGGCACTGATGTTACTGGCGAGGCCAAGCGCGTCAAGGTGGAATAGCCTCAGTTTCCCGTCATTTCGTCTTTTCCTCTCCTTTTCTCAGAGATACCACTTTTCTTACGACTTTATCGTCTATTCTTGCATATGAGCGGCGCGATCCATCGCTGGCGTTTGGCTAGAAGTGCTTTGTTCACGCTCAGTCGGGGTTCATTTCGTGAGCATTTACTCTGCAACGGGTCCGAGTTGCCCACACATACTTACTACGATTGCACTTTTTTTTTCTGTTGGCATGATGGAATTGTCGAAAAGCTTTTGGAGTTTGGTTGGCACTATCAACGGCCGAAATCGACGGGTATAGCATGATGGCGGCGTTCTGGCGTTACGGGAGCATGGATGGTTTCAGGGGGGAACAGAGCCATGACGACATCAAGGTATGCGTCCGCGCACTTGTAGTACATCCAAGCTCGAATAAATTCACATTTCGTAATATCGGGGTGCACCATTAAAACTCCTCCCAGGGTATTTATGCTCACGACATGTCTTGTCAACAATGGCATTCCCAAGTCAGTCAATCCGGAGGCCGATTCCTCAAAACTCCATCCCGCGAAAACTCCAACGCTATTAAATCCCAATGGGCGAAGATATCCGTCATCAAAGAACGTCACATAGTACAGGCAGCTCCGGGCGGGCTAGTACGAAAAGTCGACTTCCGCCATGACCGGTTGGGTTTTGTTTTCGTGGGGTCTGTTGTCGTTGCTCGATGCGCCCTCGCTGTGGTTGGCGGTTGCTGATGATGCAGCATCACCGAGCGTCGTTTCGCCGCTGGCTTGCGATTCCGTTGACTGCAGTTCGTGCTGCGACGAGGGGCGAGCGCTCGGCGACCACCCTTCGTCCACCATTTGCTGGAAGCTCCAGCTCGGCTCGAAATCTTTGCTGCGCCATGCATGCGGCACTCGTTCGTACATCTCGTCAATCTGCTCCAGGCTGATCTTGCTTGTCTCGTACACCATGAACCAGACGAAAAACACCGCCACTAGGCAGAATGCCCCCCAGATAAAGAAAATCTTGGATCCAAAGTCGGCATGACCGGGCCCATTGCCCACCATGTAGGGGCTTGAATAGGCGATGGCAAAGTTGAACAGCCAGTTGGATGCTGTCGACACAGAAATAGCCTTGGCGCGGACCTTGAGAGGATAGATCTCCGACGTGACAACCCACGCCACCGGACCCCACGACGCCGCGAAGAAGAAGACGTTGATGGCACAGAAAACAATCAATATCATCTGCGCAGCCTCCTGTAAGTCCCTGCCGGCAGCCGCAGCGAAAGTGGCCATGAGCAACTGGCAGGTCGCCATCCCGGCTGCCCCTACCATGAGCAGTCTTCGACGGCCCCACGACTCGATAACGAGGAGTCCAGGGAACGTGGAAGCGACGTTGATGGCGTTCATAATAAGCGCCTTGGTATAGGGACTTTGCACCCCTGCACCGTCGAAGAAGGTCGTACTGTAGTACATGATGAAATTGATGCCAGTAAGTTGTTGCAGTATTTGGAGGGCACAGCCAGTCAGTGTCCGTCGCCGCAGGTGGGCAGAATTGCGGAAGATATCGCGATAGCCATCAGCTCCGAGTGACATCTCATACTGATGATTGGCTATGATCTCCTGCAACTCCTCCACCAAGGCAGGGTGTGTCATATCCAAGCGCCGCAGTCTGCTGAGTGATTGACCCGCGAGCTCGTGACGGCCCTTCATAATGAGGAACCGTGGAGTTTCGGGGAGGAAGATGAACACGCCGGTCAAGGCCAGTGCCGGCACGAATTGCAACCCCAGCGGAATGCGATAGGCAGCGGAGGTCTGCATGCCCTCGGTGAGGATGTTGACGACCGATGCGCCGAAGAGACCAATTGTGATGGATAGCTGGTAGGCGCACACCAAAGTTCCACGGACCCATTTCGGTGCCATTTCCGACAAGTACAAGGGAACGATGACTGATATCGAGCCCACACCCAGACCTGCCAAAGTTCTAGGAGGTCTTCAGTCAGCATTTGCACGTGCCCTTTTCCATCCAATACATACCGTCCGCCCAGCATCATCGGCAAGGCTGAGGCACAAACTTGGCATATCGCACCAATGCAGAAGATGCCCACAGAAATCAGGAGTGTATTCCGTCGTCCAAGTGAATCGGCCGAGGGTGCAGCAAGCAGGGCTCCAACGACCGTCCCTGCGCTGAGAATGGCGACCAGAATCGCCGAGTCGTCTGTGCATATATCTAGCCGATTCCTCTCATCGACGCATTCTACGGTTCCAAACTGGTTTTTGAACGCGCGCATGGCCATGATACCGTTTATCGCTCTGCAAAGTTCACGTTAGCCACGTGGTCGTCGGCAAAATTTAACTGCTCGCGGTTTCGCGCGTGCCCCGGCGCGTGCATCGCAAAGTGCCGGCCTGCTTTTGCCCAAGCCCGGACATTGTTCGATCCGAGGAACGCACAAGGGGATCGAATCGACGCTCGACTGGCAAGGATCGGGTCGCGAGCTTACCCAGTATCATAACCGAACAACACACCGCCGCAAGCGACAAACAAGCCGAGAAAGATGGCGGGTCCTGAGGAGCCAACGACATCGTCGGGCTTGTGCCATCCCATGGCAATCGCCATGGTTGTCGTTGGGTTCGTCAATCCAGGGTCGGTCGGTAGGTTTCGTCGAGCACGTCGGTGGCAAAGTAGACAAAGTCTTCGTTTCGAGCCGGGTCGGAATCGCGAGGATGTGTCGAGCGACAAAAGTGGTCGGCGGGCGACGAGTGTGAATTGTCAGGGTCGAAAGAGGAGAGGGGACTGGAGATGGTGATGGAGCGGGCGGATTGGCGATTGAAGACTGGACAGGACTGGACTGTCTGTGTGTGGTCTGGAGTGCTCGGGATCGGACGGCAGGAGCGACTGGACCGGGCAGTCAGTCAGTCAGGGCAATCAGTTGCCTGGGGCATTTGCTCCAGGGGACACGGACCCCGGGTGGGCCGCTGGCGGCAGCAGCTGAAGTCAAGCCGACCTGCGTGGCTTGACTTGGCTTTGGTGCCTGCTCGGATTTCCGGAGTCCAGTCGTTCACTACCTAGCCTAGATCGTGCGTGCAGTCCTTGACAAATCTGCGCAGATTCAACAAAGACATCGCCGAACATTATCGCTCTAGCAGTCACTGTCTCATATGAGTCGAGTCTAACCAGGGCACACTAACTGTCGCGCGATGGAGCCTGTGGGCGGTGACTCGGTCCAGTCGTTCCAACCTGGCATTCCAATATGTGTGTGTGATTGGCTTATTTCGGCTGAGTATTCTCCCACCTTGCCCGTTTCAGCACTGGCCTGTCTTCCCCAGATCCCTTGGTGAGCGAGCGAGTTTCGGAGCGAGCAACTAACGATACTCTCTTGTTGATTAGAGCAAACAGGGGCCACTCCGAACATCGTCGTCGACGAGATCGCTGTGGACCTAGCATCAATCAGTGGGAATGCAACGCCTTTCTAATTATTACAGAACTCCATCTCGGTCACAAGGAATGAAATTCGAAATGCCATGCTAGACGACATCCGCGGTGCGGCGGCCATCCGCCACTGCCATTAGCCATTAACTATGAGAGCCATGCTGAGCTGGACAGTGCCGAGTATCTCTTGATAGAAGCTGACTTGTCTCAGGTCTGGCATAGATCGCAATCATCCCTAGACAGCGCTTTGGCTGTCTTACACTGAGAGCGTGAGCTCTGGCGCGACATCTGACACGCCAAGTAATCGTGGCGCACAACCTCTCTATGATGCCTACATGTAGGCGTTAATCTGTAGGAAATGCGGTGACCCTGACTCATCTACTCTTTGTTTTGTCACGGGTCCATTAGCATGAGGCGTAAACGGACTAATCAAGCGTCTTCCTCCTTCCCTTCATCAGACTGCAGCCCTCCCAGCACGCAGGCCATACTGTGCTGGTCAACGGTAGTAGCACTGTCAGAAATGCGGCCGTCAGCGTGCCAGAGCACAGTCGTTGTCACGAGGTTCTGGACCACGCCTCTGTATGCAACCCAACCATGTTGCCGAGAACCGGCAGCGGCGTGATCGACTCTGCTGGCCGCCTGGCGCGCGGTTCCTCCCATGTGGTGGTCACTTGTCAGACGTCTATTTAATGATGTGACGCTGCCTATTCAGCACAGTACGCGAGATGGTTCACGCCGGAGTAGGTAAATCGACTATTAAAACGACGAGTATCAGCAGCCAGTCTCCGGAGAATTTGATTTATCAGTTCGGCTTCCGCGGCCATCGAGCGTCAATTCTTGCGTGATTTTAATGTCGGCACAGATCTACTTGACACTGCACTGTGCAAGTCCGCCAATTTCCACAGTTGAAATACAGTGCGATCAAATTTCCCCAGACCCAGGCTGCAATGAATGGCGGGGAAGCTCCACTGCTCCGCAGCCAACCTAACTTGAACTCAGGTCCCCCTCGAAACGCACATGCATCATGGCGATCTGATGCTTCGTGTCTAGACCCTGATAAACTAGTCTACGTAGCTGTTTCCGGTGCTACGCTGTTCCCTATGTATTTTGTATGGCATTCGAATGAGCGAGGTAAAGCGCACGTTACGTGCGTGTAAGGCGATCGGTGAATGCTTCACATGCTTGGCCAAGAGTTTTTTGTTGCTTGGCGCGTTGTAAGGATGAAGACACTGGAGCCGTTCTTGCCGGCCCTTGCAAGTGCCCAGATATGACCATTTGGATAAGCTTCGTTGGTTCCAATTATTACATTCATAAAGACATGCTTACACGCGTGTGGGTTGCCGTAGTTCACGAACGGTCTCATGTTGCCTCCTTCCACAATTGGCCCTTTGGTTTAGGGTTAATTTGCATTTGACGTTTCCAGACCAACATCTTAAAGTACAATACGATTCACAATATCAAAGCTCGCTCTTTTTTGTAAGGCAGTGCCAGAATTCCGACTGACAAGTACGGTTGCTAAGTCACACACTATCAGACGTAGGGTAGGCAGCGATCCTCGTCTTGCCCCTCTCCCAAGTCGCTCCACTACATGTAGTCTAGGTTGATCTATGACTTTTGAGTGCATGTAGATTGCAGTAACATTGAATGAGATACTACGACAAATATTATCGTCACGGATCAATGACGTACAAAACAGCTTGCAACCTCTGGTGTTGCTAGTCTGGGACCGGGGCTCCCGGACATCGAGTCCTCAACTCATCATGTTCGGAAAGGTGGAAGGGCACAGGTCTCTGTCTGAATTAGCAGTCAGAGACAACATTGAGACCTCAGTTGACGGGGAATTATCAAATTGCAAGCTCTAAACCATTCTAATCAACTTGCCGCTGAATTCAAGCACCAAGTTTCCCCATTCAAATTCGGAAACTCCAAGAGCTACTGGACTGGTGAGGAATGTTCTTCCCAGAATCACAAACACCATTTCTGTGAGGCCCGACGACTCCAGCAAATTATACGGCAGCATTAAGCTCAGCAAGCTTGTGCAGACCTTCCTAAAGAGTGTTGAGCTTGTTCTGGAGGTTGCCGCGCTTCGCGGTGGACTCCTCACTCTCCCCAGCCAACTTCGTCACCGTAGTCTCCGATAAGTCAAAGATGGCGTTGGGCGACAGGATGGCTGGGAGTTGCTTCATGACGCAATTTTCAATGGCAAGGACGCTGACGTCGTCGATGAACTTTTCGAGGGCGACTTTGTAGTATGCCTCCATGGTGTCAATGGCACTGACAGCCGCATGCTTGGCCATATCGGCGTCGTCGTCGACCGCGCTTAGCGCGGACAAGAGAGTCTCTTTAGTGAGCGACGCGCTGGACCAGTTCGAGTGGTGCGGGAAATGGGAGTCGAGGATCTGCTCGGTTCTCTTTCTCTTGCGGTTGTTTTGAGCCCTCTGAATGTTTCTTGCCATGTGCTGGTTGTAGGTGATGGGATGGCCTTCACCATGGGGCTTCAGTAGCTCGGACAGCTTCTCGTCTGCCCCTTTCTCGATCTTTATAAGAGTTGGATAGAGCAAAAAACGACTAACACGTGATGCCGTTTCACGATCCATTGATTCGTGCAGGGCGTTGTTAGTCACGGACCTTACTGCCTCCTAGATAGTTCTCATGACTCCGCGTGCCATAGCGTTCCAGGGCTTGCACTGATCGCCGAATAGGTCTCCAATAACCTGAGGATTGTAGGTACATGGGAGCTCTCTTCCCTTTCCCTTGCTCAAGACCGTTTGGACGTGGAGGATGTACTCCCCGCGTGGAATAGCGGCCGGGCCATCAACGGTAGGCGGCACGCCGTCCTTATGCTTCTGCATCAGCAAACTAGCCGTGGGATCTTCCTCGTCAAAGATCTCGTGAGAATGTCCACGCTTCTGCATACTCTCCGCGAATGCTGTAAGATGGCTGGCGACGCGTGCGCGGAGACGATTCTCATCTTTCCCTTCATTAGGGAAAAAGCTTCGATTGGTGTAGTCGCCATCAACAGCCGCTTTGACGAGGCGGGAAAACGCCTCACTGACATGGCACAAGTACCGGCGCTGCTCGTTAACAGTGGTTCGTGTATCTCCTAGGCCCGCGAGCTGGCTTTTGACCGCATCAATGCGTTTGCAGATCTCGTCGAGGAGCTGAGGGAGCTGGGACACGATATGCTGGCGGAGAACTTTGCTCAGCCTCGCCACCAAGTGGGCAACGCCAAGTTGTTCAGGATCCAAGCGGTTCCAGTTCCTCTCCTCGAAAAACTGTCTCTCCGAGCCGTCTCGTTGCTCCGCTGTCATATCCCGCTCCTTCCAGTCCCTGTTTTTGACAACGTGCCAGCCGAGACGCAAGTTGACGTCCTTATTCTCGGCCAGCGTGATGTACGTCTGCTCATCTTCGCACGCGTGGTCGAGCTTGTCCGGTTTCGTGATGAGCCCCAAGGTACGCGCTCCTTCGGGATCCACCTGACGCGCACGCTCCGTGACAGACTGCAGGGTGAATTGCACATTGGCAGACACTACCGCGAGAATGATGCTCCGAGGCTTCTCCATATACGACATGACAAGCTCACGGACAATTTGAGCATCCTCCACACTCTGGCGCTTGTCGCCGGCCACAAACAAACCAGGCAGGTCGACCAGAGTGAGGCGACTCAGGTTTGGTGCAGAGATCTCCACCTTTAGAGTGTCGTTGCTGAAACGCTTGTTCGTGTCACCCAGGCCCATGGCCTTTTCCGCATCGCGGATGACTGCACCCAGATCGAAATCCTCGGGGCTAGTGCTCGCCCGTTTGCTAAAGGACTTGAGCGCCTTTCTCTCAGCGGCAGAACGGCTATGACCAGCGACGATTGTGACTTGGACACGGCTGCGTGGGCTTGGGCGGAGGCTGAGTTCGGTGGCGAAGCGTGTGCAGACGCCTTGCTTGGCTGGGAATGAGAGGCCCGAGATGGCTTCAAGCACAGAGCTCTTGCCGGAGGACTGATCACCGCAGACGATGATTTGAGGCAGATCGACGTATCGCTCCAGGCCAATGCAGCGGAGAGAATCGATGATGTCGAGAACATCTTGATGCTCCCTAGTAATGAGGCCATTCGATCCACCCGGTTGGCTGCCTGGGGGAGTGGAAAATCCTTCGAATAGTGCTACAGAAGAGGTCAGCGAGTTGTACATGACGGAGTACACTGGTGCCTACATGTCTCCTCCATCTTGACAAAGATTGGCGGTGATGGAGGTGTGAGCGGACCCATACGCAGGAGTGGAAGTGTTGATGGCGACAACGATTGTCGGGATCAACAGGTCATGGATGTTCTGCACTTAAATCTCGATGTTGGTAGGAAGCTCGAAGGATGTAGATGCGAGGTATGAAGAGATCTGAGGATCTAAGATCGGGTTGCTGAGGGATGCAACAGGCTCTGGAAAACGATGAGTGAGATGTAGAAGGAAGGAAGAGAAAGATAGAGAGGAAGGGGAGGAAGGGATGGCATAAATAGGCAAACGAGGCACGGGTTGAACGATTCGACGAGGCAGATTAGAGGAAGATGGAAATATCGAAGAGTTGGCACGTCCTTCATCTGAAGTACGGCGAAGTTGTCGAGGCTGGTTCCCAAGAGAAAAGGATGTAGAGTTCGATTGCTAGTGAGGGTCAAAAATCGGTCGCTTGTGTAGAAAGGAAGACATACTGAAGAAAGGAAGACATGCTGAAGACAATATTTTCCGCCAAGGTCTATCGCGCAGGTCAGTGACACTGTTGCAAAGTCAGATAGCTCGGTGTTGGTCCTCCACATGCGCGACTGGAATTTAGCAAGAGTTGGGGCAAAGCAATGCTGCATGCATTCATCAAACTATCAATACATCAAACGCCCTTATCCAAGAATCCGGGACATGATAGCCCTCGTACATATTTCGAACTCGACCCGGCTTTTCTCAAAACTCCAAACTGGGCTCGACGCCCTTGACCCGCCCAATCACTTGTTGCGGCGCATACTTGGGGATCACCTCGTCGTCGTGGAGCATCTCAAACTCCTCTGTGGCGTCGCGTCCCATAAAGTTCATGATGGCCTGGGGACCACCGGGGTGCTCGTCCAGCCAGTTGGTGAGGTCCATGACGACGCCCTTGACGACGACCCAGAGATCTTCCTTGGTGTTGTGCTTGGCCACCTCCTCGAGAGTGAACTCCTTCTCGGGGATCTTGAACTCGCTGGGCTTCTTGGGCTTGGCGGCAGCACCGCCGTCGGCCTTGGCCGGCGTGGGGCCTGCAGCGGAAGTGGCGGCCTTCTGGGCGAGAGACTCGGAGCCGGCGCCGGAGGCGCCGCCGTTGGCCCACTCGACGGTCAGCTTGCCAGGGGCCGAAGGGTCAAGATGGAGGGAGATCTGGCCAAGACGCTGGGCAGCGCCAGTCTGGCCCTGGAGAGCCTTGCGGAAGAGGAAGTTGCTAGCAGTGTCACCAGCAACGCGGCCGTACACGACGCAACCGAGCAGCGAGGAGCCACCAAGACGGTTGGCACCATGGACACCACCCGCCAGCTCACCGCAGGCGTACAGCCCCTCGAAGGGCTGCTTGTCCGAGTTGAGAACCTCGGCCTTGTCGTTGATCTCGATGCCGCCCATGGTAAAGTGGAGCACGGGCTCCATCACGGCGACGTGGTAGTCGTCGTTGATGTCAAAGGGAAGGTTGTGGAAGAACTTCTTGCCCCAGGGGTCCTTCTGCTTGCCGTCGGCAATGGCGTTGTAGGTGGTGAAAGTCTTTTGGAGGTGCTCAGGCTTGCAGCCAATCTCCTTGGCGAGCTCCTTGCCAGTCATCTTCTTCATCAAGCCACGGCCAGAGTAGTGGCGGGTGTGGAAGTCGAGGACGTTGGAGGCCTTGGAGTTGAGGATGAGGCGGATGGGGAACTTGTCCTTCTTCTTCTCGTCCCACATCATGCCCGAGACGTAGTCGCGGTGGCCGAGCTCGTCGCAGAAACGGTCACCGTCAGCGTTGAGGAGCAGACCGCCCTCGCCACGGAGGGCCTCGGCCGCCAGGAACTTCCACTTGGAGCCGGGGTCCTTGGGGTCGACCAGACCAGTGGGGTGAACCTGGACCTTGTCCATGTCGATTCCGTTGCCGCCAATGGCCATGACCATCTTTTGGCCGTCACCAGTGGCGTGGGTGCCGTTTGTGGTGGCCAGGCCGAAGGTGTCGGGGCGGTGCTGCTTGAGGAGCGAGGAATCGGTAAAGTCTGCGGCGTACCCACCGGTGGCCAGGATGACGGGGCCTTCCAGCGACGCGGACTCGCCGTTGTGCTCGTAGGTGACACCGGTGACCTTGTTGCCCTCCTTGTTCAGGCTGGTGACTCGGGCCTTCTTGATGATGGTGACGCGCTCGGGCTCGTTCTCGGCAAGCTCCTCCAGGCGCTGCATGAGCGCATAGGTGATGGCCATACCGGGGAACTTGGCATCGTGGCCACGGTGCGTACGAGGCTGCGAGTGGCCACCAAGACGCGAGACGAGCGTGAGGTCGAGGTTGAAGACGTCCTGGAGCCACTCGACGGCGGCGGCGGACTTGTATGTGAGGACCTTGATCAGATCGGGGCGAGCCTTGTCGCGAGCGGACTTGAGGGTATCATCGTAGAATTGCTTGACGCTGTCGGCAATCTTGTGGTCGACCTGGGTTCGGGTGAGGGCACCGTTGATGCCGGAGGTGGCCTTGGTCGAGTTTCCGCCAAAGAAACCTGGTGTGGTCAGCCGCTAGCTCATCGTCAAACATCCGCTGCGCTGAACGAACCTTGCTTGTCGAGCACTGTGACGTTGCCACCGGCGAGGTAGATGGTGTGTGCAGCACTGAGGCCAGAAACTGGTCATTTGTTAGCTGGGCAGCCCGACGCGGGGAGGTTCCTGTAGACTTACGGCCGCCGCCCACGACGATGACGCTGTTGGACATTGTGGTTATGTGTCTGCGCAAAGGAAAGGAAGGGAAGGGTATCACAGAGAGAGGCGGTGGTTGGGGGAGAGTTGAGATGGGGAGGAAGATGGAGAGAGATGAAGGAGAGAAAGATGAGGAGACGACGAACAGCCGATTCACGGACGAGAGTTTAAAGGGCCCAGTGGAGGATTGATTGGATGGATGGATGGCTTCGCCTCGGCGTCCAGCTGGAGAACGTGAGAATGGAGAAGCGCGGCGGCCACTTGACTGTCTGTGGGGACCCCAAGTCCGCGTCCCTTCCCTGTCCAGTCGCCGCCAGCCTCCAGGTCAGCCGAGGCCCAGCATCCCACTCGCGCCTGCCTGTCTCTGTGCTTTGCTCGAAGCTCCTTCCGCATGTCTGCTTATTCGGCAATCGGCTATTCATGCATTCAGGCAGACATTGCTTCTATAAGTGTGGTATCACGAAAGCATTCAATTTGGACAACTTGTCGTCGCCCAATGCGGTCCTTGTAGTTGTAGCATGGCAATTGAATTGCGCCTTCGGGTTATTACAGTGCGAGGCAGGCCACGGCGACCGTTGCCGTTTCTGTCCAGTTGAACGCAGCCGCTCCAGAATTCCTCCGCAACCGGGAAGCCAAAGGCATAGCAGACATTAGCAAACACGGTATCAATTATTCGTTGGAGATGTCCATTGTTCTAGGTTAGGCCTCACAGCCATTTCCCCAACTTCTCCTCATACGAGAGCAGTGGCATGATTTCTCCGTACCTTGCGTCTCGGCGACAATTCCGACAGCCTCTCGCGCAGAGCTGCGCCGAAGCTGCTTGCAGGTCCGTCGGGGTCAAAGCCGTCAGTGTCCGCCAGTATCCGCCAGGGACTGTCTCTCATTGTCCGCCCACGTCGAGCGCTATGATTATTGTCCCAATATCGGGCAAATGCGATATTACTTGAGGCACGTAGTCAATTGTCACAATGGTAGTATTGGCGACCATCATCACATGTGAAAGTGCTCGATGATCATCTGACACTTGCTCGCCTGACTTGCCTGACTGAGCAGAATCCCATGGCTTCTGATTGGCTGGATCCCCGGAATCCGCTCCTGCATGAGTCTGAACTCTGATTGCCGTTGCATGTGAAAAGCCGCCCACCGAGTTGGCTTTTTCACGTGCTGGGCTCGGGTCTTGCGCATTGAATGCTCCCGCCTACCCTGCACTCATCTCTGAAGCGGCCCATGATTCATGAACATTACCAGCCACTGGTCATTGCACTGCCAAACATAGCGCCTGTATACTTTCCAACAGTCTGCATATTATATACTTACTGATGCATGCCTTTAACTAGCCCCAATCTTGGTTGGGAACTTGTAGACCTTGGTGAACGGTCCAAATCACGTGCGCATGGGATTGCGGACATCCCACTTTGAACGGTATGACGTGGTGCTTTTCTTTGCGACCTTTTGTACTCGGCAACAAACTGGACAGCGCAATCACGAAGCCAAACCATCTCACAATGAAGGCTGTGATTTCATTACTGCTGACGCTCACCTCTGCTCTTTCACCGCCTCAACTGCCTCTGCAAGGCAACCTCCCGGCCATCATGTCCCCTTCCGATGATGCCCCCGCCCCTCAGACTCAGCCTGCAGTGCCCCTTGGGGACATCCTAGGCACCCAGCGATCCCTGACCACGTTCTCCTCATTCTCGAGGCTCTACGAGTCAACATCCTCGCTTCTACTCGACCTCAATACCAACACGACCATTCTCGCGCCCTCGAACGCGGCCATTGAGGCGCTGCCGCGCAAACCGTGGGAGGAGCCAGAGACGGACGTCAAGGCGTACGAGGGCGAGGCGGGACGAAAAAGGGCACAGGAAAACTTGAGGAAGCTCGTCGAGGCCCATCTTGTGCAGATGAGTCCGTGGGAGGGCAAGGCGAAGACGGTCAGCGGCGGCCACGACGGAAAGGGCAGAGAGGTATGGTGGGAGGAGAAGGACGGCAAGCGCGTGGTGATGCCGGATGGCGTTGAGGTGGAGAAAGTGGCCAGCCGTGTTGCCAACGGCGAGCTTGTGAGTGTTGACGATCGTCTGACTGAGAGAGAGCGCTAACCCATGTAGTGGATATTGAAGGGCGTCTTGAACTACGTCTGATAGAACACGAACTGTACGAGCTACGATGTAAACATGATCAGGGTATATACGGCTGTGTGAAAGTAAGCGTATGACGATGAGGCCTGCGTCCAGATGAAAATGTCGGAATGTGGCTTGTTCCCATGATGGCACAAAGCTGGGTCCTACGAGCAAGAGACGTCACGACTGGGAAGATCAAACAACAGCACGAGGCAGTGGCCGCGGGCGTCATTCGACTGGCCCCGGTCCACTGTAATGGTATCATTTTATCGAGCACGCTTCAGATGTCCTCACGCGTAAGGCCGGCAAACAAATCACGATGCAAGGACCTCCTCCCCCGCTTCCCGTCCTCAGATACCGTTACTTGCACACGAAAAGACACCAGGCACGGTCCCGGCTTCAAACGAGTCAATGATACCCTGGACACTGACGTACGTTCCCAGCGTCAGGTACATGACACCCGTGAGCATGATGATGGCGTTGAGCCCCATGGACAGGTAGTCGCCGACCACTGGACGCGTACGACCGATATTGACGTCGACCTTGCGCATGCGAAAGTAGGCCAGGGCCCAGAACATGAAGCCGAACCAGCAATTGAAGAGCGACGACATGACGGAGAGAACTGCGGGGTGTCAGTCCCATGAAGCTGCGCCGACGGTGGGGGACGGAAGGGGACGGGTGATGGCTTACGCGAAGAGAAGAAGGGGATGACCTCGGCGATGATGAAGGACATGATCCAAGATCCCATCAGGATGCCACCCCAGGAGGCCCAACCGAGCACGGTGTGGTCGCTGACGTGCCTCGTGTTCTGAAACAAGCGGAAGAAGAGGAAGCGACCGGTGACGGAGGCGTACAGGCAGCCGACGAAGATGATGGTCGGGACCATGAACGAGTAGGACACCTTCTTGTACACGTCGGTCAGAGTGCCGAATGCCGGAGTGACCATGTACTGGTTTCCGGTGTAGACGTAAATGACCGAACCGACGATGCTAAACATGATAATTTGAGCAAAGGCGCAAGCCCAGACCGACTTTGGAAACTCCCTGTTTGGTGGTCAGCAAGTATGCGCATGGCAGTCGCCGTCTGCACTTACCGTGGGTCGCGCATTTCAGCAATGAAGCTGGGCAGTGTCATCTGCCCGATGAAGGAGTACGACATGTTCATGAACGCGGCCATGCCGGTGACCAAGGTCGTGCTCTTGGGTGTCCAGATCGACACGATGGGCTCCCCTAGGGTGTCCGGGTCGTAGCCGGCGGGCTTGCCCTGGATCCCCGCAAAGGCCGTCGCGAGGATGACGCTGACAAAGGTAAAGGCAGTTGATCCGGTGCCGAGCTTGGACAGCATGTCGAATGTCCGCGGCAAGGAGCCGAACCAGCTGATGAGGGCCACGACACCGGCAAACATGACCGTCCTGCAGGCTATGCTGTCGGCCGCGGTCATGGTGTTGAGGTACTGCGCACCGACAAAGACGTGCAGGGCCTGGATGAAGGTGTTGTTGAGCAGGAACATGACGGCCGTCCAGTACCAGGCCCAGCGCTTGTTCCAGAAGAGCATCTGGCCAATGTCGCAAATGTCCCTGACCTCGGGGTGGCGCAGGCAGAACTCCCACAGGGTGAGACTCGTGTACAGCACCAGGAGCGCCACGACGACTGTGAGGATGAGACCCGGCACCAGGCCCAGGTAGCTGTATGACCAGGGGAAACTCATCATGGAGAGGACAATGTACTCGCTGAAGAGCAGACCGGCTGTCTTCTGCCATGAGCATGTCCGATATTGGATCGCGTTGCCCTCCTCGGACGCAATCTGCTTGCTGAGGATGGCGGCGGCCGAGTCGTCATCGGATACGCTGGCACTCGACGCTGTGTCGCGCAGATGCGCTGGCAAGGGCGCAATTCGCGGTCCCACGACGACGTTGGGCCCGCCGAACATGGATGCCCATAGCGAGGAGCGTTTCTGGTTTGAGCGGACGGGGGATTCGTCCACAACCTCCTCTTTGGAAGCCATTGTACGTGGCAATGTCTGAGACAGGCGCGGAAATGGGCGTGACAGGAACGCAGCGTAATGATGTACGCGGACAAGCAACAGGCCAGCAAGAGCAACAACAGGACCTTAATAAGGTACACGAAGCGGAAAATTGATTAAGGTTTGTTCTGGAAATGGGTAAAGAACCTAAGAGGACGTGCGGCCGGCACAGAGACGCCAGACTGGTTTTGTTCCACGACTTGCACCCACCCCCATGAAAAGCCCGCAGAGAACCAAGAAGGCGCTCCGCAATACTACCTAAACCGTTGACGATGTGTTAGAGTTACTGTCGCCTTGACTACTGCGCACTCACCTGTTTCCCAGGTCCAGTACTATCACGGCCTCGCAGGTCACATCATCGGGTAAGAAAATCGTGCATCCTTCCACATGCCGCTCTTCCGTAGGAACAAGTCCTTCACTACAGGCGATGCTAACAAAGGTGCCGTAGATGGTACTTGGCACGGCCTTGGCGGAACGGCAAGCGGCAAGTCGTCGGTACCTGAGCGCCGCGAGTGCTGATCGTCAGCTCCGGTTGGACTTGGAATGTAGGCATTCCCACTAATAGTGGGCATGGCTCGACGATCGGCTGCCTCTCACCAGTGCCACACTGGGGCAATCTGACGCCTTGTGGGGGATGACGTCGGACGCCCCAGCCCTGCTGGACGTTCTCCTCCGTGCAAGAGGCTTCAGTCGTCAGGTCCACGAACCTGAACCTGAAATCAAATGGCAAGGCTTATTAGCGAGCTTGTCGCGCAGGCGCATAAGACGAGTTCAGCATGTCCAGACCAAGGCCTACAAGTTGGGAATGCGTCACCTTGCCTGTGATCGCGCAACTGAAAAATGACTTTGCCTGGGCTGCCGGCGGCCCGAACTCTACCAAGGATGGGCTGATGGGGTCCAGGTACCGCGTCACAGCGCATCCTTCTCAGAACTTGGCATCTAATTTACAATTAGCCTATTGACGCCATCGATGATCGAACGGGCCAGCCAGTCTCCAGTCCGTCAGTGTCCAGTCCCTGGGAAGCCACTGATCTGATCAATCATCGATCCGATGCGGGGGAACAAGTTAAGATCCCGAACCCACCGAGCGAATGTCATCAATTGCCCGTTTGGGTAATTGCCAGGCCTCACAAAGGGCGGCGACCTGTCGAGCGCCAAGACCAAGATGTTTGACAGCAGGCTCTCCATGATGCCGCACGGCTTGCGCATAGTGCTCACTATCTCAAAAGAAGAAGACGTTGGCCGCAATGACCGCGCAATCAGCTTCATATTAGCACTCCCAACCTCACGCTCGTCAAACACTGTCACCCTGCAAGTCGAGCCAGATCTTGAATCGCGCGGGCAATAGCTTCAGCACATTCGTCAAAGCGAGAATGAGAAGCGAATCGCGTTGCGTGCTGTCTGCCACGGCGACTCGTAGCAGAAAGACACGGTTCACTTTAGCCTCAGAGCTACGATTCGCCGCCGCTGCGAGTCACGTGCATGTCAGAAAGGGTCCGGCGTCCTGTCACATAAGGTATCTCACTGGAAGATGCGGATGCGTATCAATGGATGCATAGGAGTTTTCCTCTACCCCTAGATGACAGCTCGCCTTCTCAACCTCTACGTGAAACCATCGATTCACCCTCGACTTCGAGAAAACACCTGCTGCTTTGCATTGAGAGACCTGTCAATGTGACGGAAGCACCAAAGACCACCAACCGCCCGGATGAGTGGATGATTGAGCAGGGCATGTCCGGCGCTGTGGTGCCCGCCCTAGACATGAGGTCTGGCACGACAGTCAAACTTCCCGTTCAAACATTTGGTGAGCTCACCAAGGATGAAGAGGCCATCCGGACGATGGGCCACCGCGACAAGCTGTTCGCTGCAGAGAGGAAAGGATGGAAAGGGCAAGTCAACCCACCCACTACAGTGAGACTGAGACCGACATAATGAAAGTACTGTGTAGGTTTGTCGAGTGGGGGGACGCTCCCGAGAAGCGCGAGGCAGCACACATAATCTTGACAGCTCAGACATTTCCACCCAATCCCGAGTATCAGTTCAAACCCATCCCTCCCACAAACCCTGTGCTGCCCGGCACTCGTTGGAAGATGTGGCATCACGCCATCGGAAGCGAGCTGACGGATGCGCCGTCCGACTCGTGGGAGCTTGTAGGCAAGGAGAAGCACCCGGACATGCTGCATCTGCTCCAGTTCCCCTACATTGCTGAGCCGCCCAAGCACCTGGTCACCGAGGATCTCATGACGCCCAACTCGCTGCACTTTGTCCGGAATCACGGCGGCATTCCCGTCATCGACAAGGAGCACTACAGCTTTCAGCTCGATGGTCTGGTGGCTCACCCTCAGTCCTTCACCCTGGACGACCTCAAGGACGAGTCCAGGTTTCCGCGCATGGAAAAGACTGTTGCCATGCAGTGCTCCGACACGCGCCGCATTGAACAGATGCTCAAAAACCCCGGACAGGGCGGCGAGGTGCCGCAGGCTCCGTGGGCAGAAGGTGCCATTGGATGCGCCCATTACGTCGGCATCAGTCTGAAAAAGGTCATCAAGGCCTGCGGAGGATTAGTCGAAGGCGCTAAACACCTCGAGCTTTACGGGGCGGACACCTAATTCAAGGACAACAAGCCCATGAACTATGTTGCCAGCGTGTCTTGGTCCAAAGTCAAAGCCAGCGAGGTCATGCTCGCATGGGACATGAACGGCCAGGGCTTGCCGCGCATCCACGGCTACCCCCTCCGCATCATGGTGTTTGGCTACATTGGTGCCCGCTGCGTCAAGTAGCTGTATAGGATCTAGGCCATTGCGAGGCCCTCGCGGGCCCCCATGCAGAGCCAGGAGTACCTGTACTTCCCCCAGCAGACGGGCAAGCACAACCTCAAGTTCACCGACGGCATCCAGATCCAGGAGACGCCCGTCAGCTCAGCCATCATGTCCCCGTGGACCAAGCAGGTTGTCCTCCACCACGGCACCATTCGCTGTCAGAGATGGGCGTACTCGGGCGGCGGCCACTGGTCCCAGAGCGTCGAGCTGTCCAACGATGGGGGGTTCAACTGGTATGCGGCTCCCGAGGCGAACCTATCCAAGAAGCACAAGTGGGCGTGGCGCACCTGAGAGTTCGACCTTGCCTGCGACGTGGAGGCCTGGGCGGAGATTGTTGTCCGGTGCTGGGACAGTCCCCTCAACACGCAGCTTCCCGAGGTGCGCACGGCCTGGAACTGGGGGCTGCATGTGACGAGCTCGTGCCATCGTATCATGGTGTACAGCGTGAATGCCTCCAGGCCGGCGACGCAGAAGAGGCTGAATGAGTTTGAGACCAAGGGCATCCCCTTTGCGCCTGTCATGGTGCCCTTAGCGTTTCCGCCGCAGACGGAGTCCGAGTATGAGGAGTACTGGAAGGAGCATGACCCGCGTGATGCGGAGGATGGTTAGTTCTGGATCTGGGTCTGACCTTGTTTGCAAAGTTGGAATATTGTCTAATACGGGATACTGAACTTTCAGATGGCCCCATCACATCTAGGTGGTGCTAGCTTGTTTTGGCCTCTGTCTAGATCCTCACGGTGGCTTGAAGAAGTCGCTACGATTGGGGTACGAGACAGGGGTCCGCACGGATCGACCAATTGACACACGCACGGGAAAGCCTCAGCAGCTTGGGAAAGATATTTGAGTTTGAACTACAAGCTACATGAGCCCTCCATGTAGGCGAGTGCAGTACTTTATATGCTGGAATCTTGCAGCTGCGATATACCCTGGCAATCCTCTGGTTACAGGGTTCTACACTGAACTGAGAACTGATAGCAGAAACAAGAGGACTGGAACACGAAAGACTGGCCCCGTTGGCTCGTAAGCGCAGCCCTATGCACTAGAGGGCGGGACTCGAGTAATATACCCCCGTATCTGGCACGATCAAGGTTTCGATAAACACTCCGAGGTGGCTTGGTCTCGGAGTTGTTCCCAGGCGTGTCTCACGGCTTCGAGGCCTCGGTCACCTCGGATGATTGTTGCCGTCTGCAGCCTCCGCACACTATTGATGAAGCCACAAAATCAACTACTCAGCCCAGAAGAGCCCCCAGGAACACGAGTCGTCACATATGCGCGACATAAGCACACGTGGCCGCCACGTTCATCGGCGACAGCCTTGGCCCTTGGTTGGTCGCCGACTCCAGTCATCCCATCAGACTAAGTACTAGTCTAGTTAGTGACGATACTAGTCTACCTGGAATCCGGGGTTGGCGGCGTTGGCGACTGGGGCCTGGGCCCTGGGCCGCTTGGCAGCATCCGCTCGCCCCGGACCTTTGCCGTCCGTCATGATCGATCAGTAACATACCAGCTACATGGTTTGAGGGTCTATCAATAGTTTTCCCCATTTCCTGGGTCCTGGTGTTACCGTAGGGTTGGCCGTGCCTTGGAGTCTTTCCTTGACCAGCATTCGCTGAAGATGGCGGTCGTGGCCGAATGGAAGACATGTTGAACCCCACGCAGAGATGTGCGGGCGACCGACGGCTGAAAATGCCCGAGAACGGTAGAAGAAAACTTTCAGGAGGGTTCGATGACTTGGGTCGAGCGACCAGTGGTGGCTCGCCCTATGCTGGGGTCCCATCTGCAAGAAGAACGACGCGACGAGTTCAATACGAATCACCTCGCCCGAATTTGACCTCGCCGGACTACCTGTGTCGTGGCATTAACTTTCAATAATTAGCGGTCCTGAACTTCTCTGGCCCCACCGGACAGGGGTCCGGTTTCCGATCTAAACTAGGCACAAGTGGGCGGCGACTGGAATGTCATTCCACAAGGTGACGAGAGAAGACAATGGGGTGCCGGGATTGATTACTGGAGTCTGGAACAGCCGCAGCCCCACGTCGCAGACTAGGCACGGGTAGACCCCATAAGTCTCATACTGTGATCTGCAGGGTCTCGTCGTCCGAGTCGACAGCTCTGGTCATGTAGTATACAGTCAACCACGGCGTCGTGCTGCGTACAGCTAAGATAGGCTGCATTTCGACATGTAAGGTTGAAACGACAGCATGCAGGAACAAAACGAATGTGGAGTTATGCCACCATCCGTATTCGCTCACTAAGAAACCCAACAATCTTAAGCTTCGATGCGCAAAGCAGCCCGCATGTTGGCAGTCACCACTGTGGCCTAGTCCGCGAGGAAGCCCATGTGCACGGAAACCTGGAACTGAGCACTGGGCAGCATAAATGTGACTAATTCATCAGCTGCTTGTCCACAGGTGTGATTGCAAATGGGCTGCCTCGAGCCCTCGACTCTTACCCATCTGGACCTACTCAGCCGTTGTGGCTGGAATTTGCTGCCTATAGTACCAAACTTTCTCCTTCTATTTATACTGACATGGGAAAAGCGTGACTGAGCCGAGTATCAGGCGTTGGCGAAAGGGGGTGGTAGAGCTTCGTATCCCAGTCTGCTGCTCTCAAAGACTCAGCTCGTCCATCGCCGAGGGGCCTTGGGCGAGGTCGTATAAGAGTCAATCATGGAGTCTGCATGGGAACGGACTTTTGTCAGAATATTCTGGGTACATTTGCAGACGCCTCAGGGATCACCTACTACCAAAGGCGAGCTATAATCATGTTCTTGCACGTCTACATCGCTCTTTTGGGCGTCTTAGCCAGGACAATCTCGGCCTATCCACACCACAACAATAATGCCAACACTACGCACGTGACGCACCACGTCTCCTATACGACGGAGATTGTGAGCAAGCTGATCACGTACTGCCCCTCGCCCACCACCATCATCCAGAATCACAAAACCTATGTCGTCACGAAACCTACCACCCTGACTATCACCGACTGCCCCTGCACGGTCACAAAGTCAAAGCACCCGGAGACGACTGTTTTCCGTGGTCCTCCCAAATCAAGACCGCACAAGGGTCCGGGCGAAGGGGTCATCACCAAGTATGTCACGGTCACTGTCACAGAGGCCGCCCAGACCGTCACTGTTCATGACTGTCCATATGGACAGCCACAGAGTCCCACGCAAGGGCCTAGTGCACCGAAGGGACAGCCTCAGGGACAGCCACAGGGACAGCCTCAGGGGCAGCCTCAAGGACAGCCTCAAGGACAGCCTCAGGGCCAGCCTCAGGGACAACCCCAGGGACAGCCTAAGGGGCAGCCTCAAGGACAGCCTCAAGGACAGCCTCAGGGCCAGCCTCAGGGCCAGCCTCAGGGCCAGCCTCAGGGACAACCCCAGGGACAGCCTAAGGGGCAGCCTCAAGGACAGCCTCAAGGACAGCCTCAGGGCCAGCCTCAGGGCCAGCCTCAGGGCCAGCCTCAGGGCCAGCCTCAGGGCCAGCCTCAGGGCCAGCCTCAGGGACAACCCCAGGGACAGCCTCAGGGGCAGCCTCAGGGACAACCCCAGGGACGACCTCATGGCAAACCCCAGGGGCCTGAATACACCACGGAAGTTGTGGATAGGTTGACTACATACTGTCCACAGCCAACAACATTGATCTACAATGGGAAGACCTACACAGTTCCGTCCCCGACTACTCTTACCATCACAGACTGCCCTTGCACGATTGTCCGACCCATGCCAACGGCCACTGTCGTACCTTTTGTTTACTACACAACAGAAATCGTCGACGTGGTTACGACATACTGCCCTCATCCTACAGTCATCACTCAGGGAACAAGGACGTATACTGTCACACGGCCCACAACTTTGACGATTACGGACTGTCCATGCACGGTCACCAAGCCCATTACCACCGTCACAGTCACCAAGCCTGGGCCTACAAAGGCAACCACTCAATCGATTACGGCCACCAGGACAAAGTCAAAGACAAAAACTAAAACTAAGACTAAGACCAAGACCAAGACCAAGACTAAGACGGAGGCAACACGCACCACAGGCACAAAGACCGCAGAAACTACCACGGGTACCGGAGGTACCACCGGGACCGAGACCGCGACTAGTATGGAGACCACCACTGGCACTGAAGCCACCACCGGGACTGAAGCCACCACTGGCACTGAAGCCACTACCGGGACTGAAGCTACTACTGGCACTGAAGTTACTACTGGGACTGAAGCTACTACCGGGACTGAAGCTACTACTGGCACTGAAGCCACTACCGGGACTGAAGCTACTACTGGCACTGAAGTTACTACTGGCACTGAAGCTACTACCGGGACTGAAGCTACTACTGGCACTGAAGCCACTACCGGGACTGAAGCTACTACTGGCACTGAAGTTACTACTGGGACTGAAGCTACTACCGGCACTGAAGCTACTACCCGCACTGAAGCTACTACCGGCACTGAAGCTACTACTGGCACTGAAGCTACCACTGGCACTGAAGCTACTACCGGCACTGAAGCTACTACTGGCACTGAAGCTACCACTGGCACTGAGACAGCTATGACCACTGACACGTGGGTTGAACCCACGGCAACGACTACGTGTACAGACACCCAAGAGACAGACCATCCGAAGGGTCCAGGAAAGGGCCATGGCAAGGAGCATGGTCAAGATCACGGCCAGAGTAAGGATCAAGGCCACGGTGGCGGTCAGGGCCACGACCAGGGACAAGGTCAAGGTGACGGTCAGGGCCAAGGCCAAGGTGATGGTCAAGGTGATGGCCATGGCCAAGGCAGCGGCAATGGTCAAGGTGATGGCCAGGGCCAAGGCAACGGTCAGGGCGATGGCCAGGGCCAAGGCAGCGGCAATGGTCAAGGTGATGGCCAGGGCCAAGGCAATGGTCAGGGCGATGGCCAGGGCCAAGGCAACGGTCAGGGCAGCGGCAATGGTCAAGGTGATGGCCAGGGCCAAGGCAATGGTCAGGGCAGCGGCAATGGTCAAGGTGATGGCCAGGGCCAAGGCAATGGTCA